ACCCTAACCCTAACCCTAACCCTAACCCTAACCCTAACCCTAACCCTAACCCTAACCAACGCACCCACTGTAACCATCCCCAAATAAGGCCAGACGGGAAAATCCCTCCATCTGAATGTTTAGATGCATTTACTCTATTCACACTTTTAGAGGCATCAGAGGATGAGTGCATGATAAATTTTACATATTTCCTAATTCTACAGTACAGAACTTAAAAAAAATTATGCAGAAAATATCTGGGGAAATCATGCAGGAAACATAATAAGGTTTATAATATTAGAGAAGCTCTTAGTACAAGGCAGGCGTGCAAAACCCCACACATTAGGAAGAGTGCCCACAAGGCGTATGCAAGTTTTCCTGTGAATTTTTGCACATGTCTGCAAAAGTGAGGTTGGGGAGATTTGCCCATCCCTTCTACAGAGATGATATATCAAAGATTAGTTGCATGTTCCCTATGCCTGTAAGTAGGTTAAGTCTTAAGAAATGAGTTCATAAAATTCATTTGCTGCTTTTAATGGGTAGAACTTGATATAATCTTTCACAATCCTTTAATTGATCTGGGGGGACTTCTAGACAAGCATCCCACAAAGAGCGGAGGACAGCCTTGCTCAGCACAGAGAGCTCTGCGCAGATGATTCCGCCCCCACACCTGCCCTGTTCGGAAAAGGGTCATCATTTCAGTGGCTTTCTAGCTTAACAAACCCCAAGCTTCCATTCCTAATTAATACGAGCTGCTTGCTAGCTTGGAATCAAACTAATTGAACATTTTGAAGTGAAAGGTTAGCTTTGCAGACACTGTTAGTCTGCATTTTAATCAATGTCCACGTTGGCTTTACTCAAAGGGGTTGGGGCATCTGGACAGCTTTGCTCCGTATTTCAGATTCCACCCACGGGGATGCAAATCTCCTGAAAGGTTGTTATGGCGAGCTACAATTGCCCCGATGCACTCACTTCACAAGACAGTGTTCAACCTCGGGAGAGTCTACACATTTTTAAAATGTCTAAACGTCTTGAGGTAAGAAGCCAGATGGGTAAGAAAGAACACAACAGAGGAAAGTGTGTCGCTGTTGTGTGGCTAAGGCTCTCTCAGTCAGGTGATGAAAATGCAGTGGGCTGTGGGAAGGCAATGGAATGACAGGAACAGAAAGAACGCAGGACCAGAAGGCATCATTCTGGGTTGAGGACCAGCCCTGGTGGATTTTCTGGACAGCTCACTCCCAAGAACCAGCCAACAGAGGGCAGCACCACCCTAGTTTTCGACTCGGAGAAGATGTCCTTGTGGCTTCTGGAGGCACCAGGATGGCCCTTGTTTGGGTCCCCAGCGATGTTCTCTGAACTCTTTGGGTTCCCTGTGATGTTCTCTGATTTGATTCTGTCCCCCGCAGGAGGCAGCATGATAGGCCAGACATCTAGCGTGGGCTGACAAGGACGTTCTAACCACACAATGCATTGATTTCCATTCATGATGCCTTGTACTATTTCTGTGGCTCATGAAGGCACTTCTTAGGTTGAAGCAGCCTTCCAGTTTTATACCTAAAGAAAGAGAAAGTTCTTAGGAACTGCTTCTGGCTCTTTCCTTTGGCAGGGAAAGCCCTTCATCACCGGGTCTGCCATTTGGCACCGGGCACAGAATGTTCTCTGCTCTGCATTTTCCTCCTTCTCATTCAAAATTGTGGGTGTTAGGCATTTTTTCAGAAGAGCATTTTGAAGCATTCCTGAGGCTCTTTATGGGTCCCATTGAAATCGTTCAGCCCCCTTGACTGTATAAGTGACTTGCCCTGGGCAAGCTGGTTGCACAGCTGGCAGGGCTAAAAGATGGGAAGAGTATTTGGGAGGAGGTGGCCAAGTGGAGGTCACTTTGGGGCATTCTCCGCCATATTTGTAGATGGGGAATTGGGAGGACAACTTTATTAAAAGACAGAAGCTTTCACAGGCTGCACGTCTGCCTTTGAATAAAATTGGCCAGTCAGAACACCTCTTCTCTCTTACAAGGTCCAAGAGAAGGAGAAATTCTCCAGCAATTTCCCCAGGGCTGGACTTTACCTTAGTAGTAACAAGAGCCCCACAGCTGCAGAGCCTTCTGGGCAGAGATCCCTCTCGAGGGGACAGAAGGGCGGGAAGTCCCGAAGCCGCAGACCCTCCCGGAGTGAGGGCTGTGCAAGAATGGCCCACCCTTGTACCAACTGCTTACTAAATAAGGGCAAGGATACTCTGTTCTCCCTGTGCAAAGGTCTCCAAGGTCCTCTCCCCCTTTGGGAGGAACGTCTGCAGCCAACAACGTTCCACCCAACCGAAGGTGAACTGCTTGGGGGGGAAGTGCACAAAGTTTCCTCTGCTTGGCACAACCCCAAATGTGCTCCGATGGTGCTACAGGTCGGGGGTGCCCTCTAGGGGCCAAAACACTTTCCAAAGCAGACCTGTCAAAACTTTCTGCCTTCGGGAAGACGTTCCAGCCTGTGCCAGTCCTGGACTGCTTCCATGTTCTCGGCCGCTCTGGGCCTGTTGGGAGAGCCCAAGAGTCAGCCGATGCGTCTGGCCCTGAGCCGGATGCTTCTTTCCAGCAGGGAAGGGGTGGCGTGGCACGAAGAGGGGCAGCATTGTTTACACACCGAGGGAGGGCAGCAAGGACCCACGCGGGGCCTTTACCAACCAAAGCGCAGGCTTTCTGAGAGCGGTGTCAAAGTGCCCAGGGAATGAAATATTAGTAAAACTGCATATTTGGGAGGAACGTTTAGACCGTGCCGGTGCAGGAATCTGAAGAAAGCCTCCCCCACAGCTGGCCGTTTAGCTTTCACTGAAATGCCTCCATCGGCATTTCAGCCCACGGCCTCCCGGGGTTAAAGGCTAAAATTAACATTTTAATCACTTTCTGGAAACTTGAAGGTAGAAATGGAAAGGTTTGTGAATGCTTTCATGTAGAGGCATTTGCTTTTTGGGGGGTTATCTACAGCTCTGCAATCTGGTTGCTGTTCCTACCCCTCCCACGAAAGAAAACCTTGGAAATTCAGGCTTGCAGAGTGGCAAGTTGGAAAAGGGCTGCATTAAAGAAGCTCAGCTGAACAAATACAAACTGGCATTTTATTGACTGAAGGCAGCAATATATTGGTGTCAACAAACAAGGAAAAAAAAACAGATTGTAGTATAAAAAGGCCCCCAGGACCAAAAGCGCCCCCATGGCCACAGGGTGGGTCACCAGGGCAGAGGCCTCTTGTGTGGCCATTGGTCATCCTCCACCCACCCTCTTTCGCACAGCCCGTGGACCTGCTGGAGAGATTTAGAAACCTCCAGCCGATCCAAGAAACGCTGAACTGCAGGGGGAGAGCGAAGCGTTGCCAGCGGTGTGCCTTGAAGGAGGAGGGGGTTGCATCTCAGGGGTCTGTCGAGAAGCGCTCTTGACCCACTTTTGTGCATAATCGGAGAAGCTGCTCTTTGCGAAGGCCCCAGAAAGACCCCTTGCGAATTGTGCAAGAGGAAGGACGTCACCCTCCATCTGAATTAATAAGAAAGACTTGTGGTGCTCCTGCCAGACCCCGCTGCAGCTCCGTTTGCTCCCCCAGTAACTGGCCCACCCGCCCAGCACCAACTCAGCGCCTGGCGTCTTCAGCTGCTGCACGGAGCGATAACATCGATTGGCTCTCGGAAAGACGCACCCAGCGCGTTCGCTTTTTTGCTCATTCTTACGAAAAGGAAGACCTCTTGTGCCCTGGATGAGTGCAGAACACAGTGGAACGTACTAGGCGTACTGGAAGGATGAGAGCAAAGACGGGGAAAGAAGAGACCTCGCAGAAGAAGAAGAAGAAGAAGAAGAAGAAGAAGAAGAAGAAGAAGAAGAAGAAGAA